ACTCTGGGTGGTGAACACGCAATGTCATATATAGATGATGTCGTAAGAATTGCACACTTGAAACCTATGTAATTTTGCTAACCATTGTCACCCCAATAAATTATAATTAAAATAAAAAAACATACTTCCAAACTTCAGTCACCCTATTATTGGAACTTCCTTTGGACTGTCTCCTTTCTTTATTCTCTTGTCTCCAGATCCTTCCTCCAGGAAATGTAAGAGAGTTTTTCTTCAAATACTTTTCTTTATGTCCATGGGGCTCTTTCAAAATTTACGTCAGGGGTTTCCCAGAAAACCTTCTCACCTGAGCAGTGCCCACTCCTCTCTTTTTTTTTTTTTCAATGAGGTGAGCACAGGACCCTCTCATCACTATACCAACCATAGTGTCCCAGTAGCAGGCGAAAGCTTGAGGGAAAGAAAGGGAGGATTCGAGAGTATTCTTTGTGGGTGGGGGTGAGTGAGAGGTCTTTGTAAGTGAGAGGCGTTTGGTGTACACTCCCTAACAACAGTAACAAGCAGAAGAGTTTTTACAATTGTGGGCATGCATCAAAACCAAAATACTAAATTTGAAATGTAAGTCTTATTTTACTACTGGCTCATATTCACCCTAATTCACTCTTGAAATAGTATTGGATGAGAACTGGAACAAAATATAAATGCTTATTCATAAACAACACACTTAAGATAAACATTCATGCCTCGTGGGTGGTTTTCTGAATGTCTGATAACATTCTCAGATGTGTATCCATGAAGTCTAAATATTGCCTTTGTGTGAAGCCAGAGCTTCTCAAACTGTTCACCTATATACCCCTTCTTAGTGGAGAAGAAACTGAACTCAGACAAGGAATGTGAGACCACCCCTGAAGAAACCTACTAAAAATTTGTGGTTCCTCTGAAGCCTTATGTTTTAGCTGGGGCGGGGGGAGCAGGGGGGGGGCACGGAGACAACCGATGTATGCTGTATTTTATGGCATAACATATCTAGGTTTATTTTACTATTAAAAAGTTGTTTTAAAATGTTCTACCCTCATAATCTAGAAATATTTGGGAGAGCAGTGTACAACATGCAAATGTAAATATTAATGTGTAACCTAATGAAACCACATTACATGTGGTTCAGATCCAGAACCATGTCACAAAATAGATTAAAATCACAAGCCAAAATAAATTAAATAAGTAAGGTAAAAAGGAACTCTGTTCTTTACCTCTTTTTCTAGAAGGGTATTAAAAGGAGTCCAGTGCACATCTCATAGTTCCTTTCTTCCCCTCCACATATCACTCTCCAAAGCATCATCCACCATCACAAAGTGTTCCCTCTCTCGCCATATCCCACACAGCTTTTACTCTCTCTTCCATTAAACTCCTTTCTCAACTCTATATTGTGCAGATCTACTTAATCCTTCTAGCAAAAAACTTCTCATCATCCCTCCTTTATGTCCAGTCTCTGATTCTAGGAACAGGCAAAGACAAAATGAGGTTGGAGTTTAGGTGGGTGAAGGGAAAGTTGGACCAACAGTGACCGCATTTTCATTGGTGAGCAGAGGGAGAGGGACATCTCTAAAGATTCCCATGTTAATAATTTGCATCCTATCACATATGAGTATAAAAATGGAAATATTTTATTCCATACTCTGTATTGACTGCAGGTAAAGGTGTCATTTTGTTCACATATCACTGGATGTTTGGGAGATAATTAAATATTGTACCTACAACCGATAATCATTATTACTCTTCTTATTTATATACATGTCCCATGAGTGTATTAATAGTGATAGGACATACTGTCTTAACCCCAAAATGTGCTTTTTAATATAAGTGTAATATTTAAAGAACCGGCTTTTGGAGTCCATGCAAATATTTAAGTGCCTATCCTATCTGATGACACATTTTGTGGAAAATCAGGAACTTACTGGGACAAATATTTATCTTCATATCACACCGTCCGTGTACCTCTATGACAAATATTGGTTGGCCTCCTGTTGTGTCACTTAAGGAACTTCAAGATCTTTGTGCTGAACAGTGAAACTTGCAAAATGGACACTATGAAAAATCAAGCATTGGATTTTGCTTCACAGTCTTTTTAGTTAAGTCTTGACCATGAACAGACTGTATCTTGTTACACAAGCAAGTGGAATAGTATCATTGCTGTTTTTCTAAACCAGTTCAAACATTAATTACTGTGTGTACCTTTTCATTGGTGTCATATTATACAAAGTATCTGTGACTAAATTAAGACAACCAAATTAGACTTTTCAATTAGTAGCATTTGTTTCACAGGTATGTATATCAGGCCTGTACAAAAGGCCTAAGGGAGGTAGGTGCTGGAGGGGAGGGAGAATCATGCAAAGATGTCAGGAAAATATTAGCCTTCAAAGATCTTAAAAATCTATGGTGCTAATAAGACATTCCCACTGACAATTGTACTACGGAGTGGAAAATGTTAAGTGTCTTCAGAGAAGTTTAGAAGATGTGTACAGAGACTCTTAAGGAGAGTGGGGTGACTTAGAGATGAGAGGATCAAAGAAAGCCTATGGAAGAGGAGCAGTTGACCTGGACATTGATAGAAGAATCATATTTGGATGTACAGAAACACAAAAGGACATTTCACAAGAAGGGAATCTTAACAAACGCAGGAATTGTTTAGGTATGGGATGGCATTGTTTGGTTGTGCTAGAGGGAAAAGGAATGATAGAACATGGTATTGAAAAGATCGTTTGGATCTTCTTAGCACAGCTGGAGAATGTATAGTTATCCAGAAAGAGGTAGGGACTCGAAGGCAATGATAAGCAGAGACATGACATAGGACTCCAGGAGACTGCCAGTTGCGAAGGGATAATAGGCAGTCGAGGCTGAAAGACAGCAGTCATGGAAGGCTGTGGAGTGTCCTGGGAATGGTGAGAAGTGTGTTATGGCTGGAGTGCACATGGAATGAGAGGGGCTGCAAGACAAGTCTAGAAAGGAAGGTTGTAGACAAATTCCAAAGGGAATTAATTGTATGCCAAGCTAAGGAGTTTGGGGTTTATCCTATACAGACACAGCTTTGTAAGTAAGGTACGGTCTGTGGGCAGCATGGGGCATCGGCTAGCAGGGAGCAGACCTTTTCTGTAAGTGGCCAGACTGTAAATATTTTAGACTTTGTGGACCACATATGGTCTCTATCACATATTCCTTGGGGTTTTTTTCTTTATCCTCTCCCTTCCTTCCTTCCTTCCTTCCTTCCTTCCTTCCTTCCTTCCTTCCTTCCTTCCTTCCTTCCTTCCTTCCCTTCCTTCCTTTTTACAATGTTTTAAAAATGTAAAAACCATTCTATGCACCTCTGGCTGTACAAAAACAAGCCTCAGGCTACCTTCGGCCCTCTGGGCATGAGAAGAGACCAGTGGCAGGTAAATCCGGAAACAAGGCTATTGTGCAGAGAGCAGAGGAGGGTCAGCCTAAGGCAGTGGTGACAAAGTGGTGGTGAGGAGACACATGGGGGTAGATCTGGAATAGAATTGCTCTCAGCAATTGTGTGGCTATGGATGGATAAGTAGGAAGAAATAGGAAGAAAAAGACAAGTCAAGTGTGATCCTGAGGCTTCTTGCTTGAGAGACGAGGTGATACTGGTATTATTTACTCCCAAGATTATGGGGGAATATTGAGAGAAGACAGATTCAGTTCTGAAGTTGCAGAAGTTAATGTACTCAGGGGTCATCCAGGGAAAGGACGCCTGGGGACAGTTGGCCGTATGGGTCTAATGCCCAGTTTCCTCCCTTCCAGAATGTGCCTCACAGGAAGCCGCTGAGGTAATAGATTTGAAAGGATGGGGTGTCCCACGAAACTACAGGATAGGAAAGGGCTGGTCCTTGGGAACCCCAGACTGGCAGCAGGATTTGGGATGAGTTGGAGATGGCAAGACTAGAGCAGGAAGACCATGTGGGAAGCTCTGGCAATAACCTAGGGCAGGGGTCAGCAAACTTTTGAGACAGAAGAGCCAATCCTGTCCCTCACAAAAATTAAAAAATTATTCGACAGCCATAAAACAAATGAAATCTCCATTATGTGAATAATATCCTTTAAAAATTTTATAAATGAAACTATGGTAGTTTTATTTTCATTTTCAATTTTACTTCAGAGCCACATGTACGTACCCAAACACCTGCATGTGGCTCGCAAGTTGCAGTTTGCTGACCCCTGAGCTAGAGGAGGAAATAGTGTCTCGGATTGAGTGGTAGCAGTGGAACAGAAAGGTGACAGATGAGAAAGGTAGCATGACACACATCACGAGGACTTGGCTCTGTGCACGTGGAAGAAGAAAAAGGCCTTCTGTGGTCCTTGTCCTCAGATTCCAGTGTCATGGGATGACGTGACCTCTATCTTGTTTTCTTTCTAGTTCTTGTTTTAGAAACCTCGCTAAGTGTCAGAAGTAATCACAGAGCATATTGTCTGACCACCTTTGTAGCTTTTCAGTTTTGCATATATCCTGTTGTAAAGTGCAGTGGAGAATAGCCATGTCCCAGCTGCAGAAACCTTTGGATAGCCTCCATTAACAGTAAAGGGAATTGTAGAAAAAAACCCAGAACGCTTGTTGAAATAAATTTAAAGTATTTAAGATTTTGGAACTAGGATACACCTTAACCAAGGCCATTAAAATTGTCTATAAGCCGAGGGTAAGCTGTCAATCAAGGTAGGCTTTCCATGTTGCCAGAGTCCCTGTAATTCGTTACACTGGGTGTCTAAACAGTCACTGGAGGCCTTGTGGTAGCACATCTTCCTTAGACATATAAGTGCCAATGAGATATGGTAACTCTGTACATCCATCTTCCCAGTGCATTAATCTGCTGTGTTAAAACACAAATATAACCACCACTGTCCACAACGTGCACTCACTCTAACGCTCAAAGATGCTTGGCAGTTAAACTAGAAAGGGCACAAAACCTTTTTTTTTTGTCTGTTTGGCAATTAACCATTCACTGGCTTTTTTTGTTGTAACATGCACTTCCTTTCTCTTGTTTTCATTCAAGCTGTGTACGCCATGGAAATTAATGTGGAGAAAGACAAACAAACAGGAGAGACCAGGATTCTCTCTACATCCACCATTGGCCCAGAGGGGGTCCATCAGAGAGGCGTCAAAGTCTATGACGATGGTACCAAAGTAGTGTATGAGGTACACTCAGGAGGCACCGTAGTAGAAAACGGAGTGCACACATTAAGCTCCAAGGATGTAGAAGAGCTTATTCAGAAGGCTGGACAATCAAGCTTAAGAGGAGGGCACGTGTCAGAAAGGACTGTAATTGCAGATGGGAGCCTCGGCCACCCTAAGGAACACATGCTCTGCAAAGAGGCCAAGTTAGAAATGGTACATAAGTCTAGGAAAGATCATTCTTCCGGGAACCCAGGGCAGCAGGCCCAAGCCCCCAGCACTGCAGGGCCCGAGGCAAACTTGGATCAGCCAGTCACCATGATTTTCATGGGCTACCAAAATATCGAGGATGAAGAGGAGACGAAAAAGGTGCTAGGCTATGACGAAACCATCAAGGCCGAATTGGTCCTCATTGACGAAGACGATGAGAAGTCGTTGAGGGAGAAGACAGTGACGGATGTGTCCACTATTGATGGGAACGCAGCCGAGCTTGTGTCTGGGAGGCCGGTCTCAGACACCACAGAGCCCTCGTCCCCAGAAGGGAAGGAAGAGAGCTTGGCCACAGAGCCAGCCCCAGGTACCCAAAAGAAAAAGCGCTGTCAATGCTGTGTTGTCATGTGACCACTTCTTTCTTCCCTGTTCTTCTGGGCAGCCTCTGTGCTCTCCACTTCTTGCGTAGACCTCACTCTACCACTAGCTGCAATACTGTGAACTGGAAGCAAACACCTGCCTTGCCTTGCAGTTGGATTGCTCTGATCTCTCTTATTTTTCCCTCCCTCTCATTTTTCTCCAGTTTCCTCACCTGAGAGACAACCTGCATGTGTGTGCTTCATTCTTTCCAAGAACTTGCTTTTCCTCTAAACCTTTCCTTGTGTCTTCAAGACTGAATTAGTTCTTGACTGCCCGATGGGAATGGACTCTTCAGATCAGCGAGTTATCTAGTAGCCTTAATTCACTTGACTGGAATCAAGCCCGAGTGGCCCGGGGGGTTCATTTTGTCATGTGTTCCTATACCGTGCTCACACATCATCACGTGGCTGACTTCACTTGCCTCTCTTCCTGTGGATCTTTGCTTTTATATCTCGTGTGGCAAAATGCTGTTGGCTCTAGCTGGTTGCTAGTGTAGCCAAAAGTGGATCTTGCTTAGTCTGTCCAATCTAGGGTGATGCTTTTTGCTGCCTTACATAAGCTTCCAGATTACAGTATCGTGCATCTATGGCTTTCCTTCTGTAAAAACCGAAATGAAGTCGATGTAAAAGGAAAGAACCCAGTGTTGTCCCAGCAGAAATGTAGGGACTGATTCCATGACCTGCCTATCAGCAGCTGTCTCTCTTTCATGGCTTGACTAATGGACCCTTTGTATATGAAGCACCATTTTTTAATTTTCTAAGGACATGAAACAAACATTGTTTTAAGCATCAGTAGTGACCTCCAAACTTAGGCAAATCCATGAGCCTTGCTTCTATGCTCTCAAAAAAAAAAAAAAGTAAATTTTTATATTGTTTTCTTTTTCACGGATATTTTCTGATCATGTTAATCTATTTTCAATGACGGGATCATTCTGAGGAGTATCTCTGCAGTGACCCTATTTCTAGAAAAGTCTTTCTGACCTACGGTGGTTGCTGTGATGCCCCCACTTCTTTGAGGATGGTGCTGTAACTGAATTACCTGTTCATCTCACCTGCCCAGTTGATGACAGAGCCTTACTTCTGGACTCTTTTCTTTCTGTCCCCATGAAAAAGAGCATGTTTCCTGTGACGTCAGCGTGTAGGTTTATCCACCCTTGAGAATAAATTTTAAAATGTAAAAAAAAAATTTAAATGATTAAGAAAGACCTGTCTTCTCAACGTTAAGTACTTAAATTCGTTCCACAAATACTCATTGAGTAGCATGTAGCTGAGCTTCTTAAAGCATGTTTCTTAAGCTTCTGGAGATTTCAGAACATCAAATAACAGTTTTTATTTAAAACACAATGAACAATTCTTTAAATAAAGTCTTAGCAACAACCCTCCTGCCCCCCAAAGCAAACAGCCACACATATAGTAAAACCAAAGGAAAGCAATTTAATAAAATAATACTTAATAATAAAATATAAATGTAACATTTTAACTGATTTTAATAACACAGATATCTTAACTTCACGTTATTTGCTCAAATGCACATAGCATTATTGCAAATAATTTACAAAATTATCTATGTTCCATGGAACATAGTTTCAAAAAATATGCAGCAAGACATGCTACACCACAACTAACTTCTGTGAAAAGTAGATGAGAAAAAAATAAGGTAGTGTTGAAGAATTTTATCACAGACCAACTAAATTTGCCCTAAATAGCTTTCTGGGTGCCAAATCTAACTATTATTTTTCATTTCTTGGCTTGAATTATATGTATTCCAATTGGAGAGGAAAAAAATATTTTTTTATTTTTCAAAGTTAATTTTTCTCAAATAATTGCATTTTAATGAACACAAAGTGAGTCATTTTATCACCAATCTGTAAACAAAAAAGTAAAGAGGGAAAGTTCTTTTATAAAGGAGCTAAGGTCTGTTTCTAAGATGATTCCTTCCATGGCTTCGTTTTGAATAGTTGATAGAATTACCTCTAAATATCAGGTTCACTAAAGAAGCTGCAATTGAACAAAACTGCTCTATTATCTAGAAATAATAACCTGGTTTTGCTGCCTATAAATCTCACTACTCCTCAGATTCATGTTTCTCAGTAAATGGTCACTTAAGCATCATTAAAATATTAAGTAAAATAACATAACAGATAAACCTATTTACGTAGAAATAGTTTTGATGTTTTAGACAATCTATTATTTTACTTCTTTAAGAAAGAAAACTCTAAACGGTTACCATAGCTTATCTTTTTTTTTTTTAATTCACTTGGGGATTAAAACTATTCAGTATCAGTTTTTAAAAGCACAGTGAGTGGGATGGTAGAGTTTAGAATCCTTGGGCTTGCTGTGTGAGAAACAGAATTCCAGCCTTCTAGGACAGATAATTCCCCGCGGTGACCCATCCTTCCATAAATGAACCAGTTTCTCATGGACCTATCATGACAACACTATACAGAAGACCTAAAAGACCAATGAAAATCTGCGCTCTCAGTCACCAATTAGTATAGGGATTAGCAAATTACATGAATTAGTTCTATACTTTTACTATTAAAGCCTATCTTCTAGTGGTTTTTAAAGTAAGATGTGTTACCTTTATCAAAATGATGTGTGGCCCCAGTAAATGCAGGTCTGTTTGAATATGGCATACGAGTATATATTTGCATATCTTGCATCATTCTCTTGTCCTAATGGGGGATTCAAGCTCAGTCAGTACTTGGATGGGATGAGATTTATAATCCCATCTACAGCAACAAGTAATTACCCTTCATAATGAAAATGTCAACACTATTGTGATTGTGAGCATTCTGCCTTTTCTGCTGTCATTGGCATTCTCTGTGTAAAAACTTTATTATGTATAGCATCCCAACCTTCAAAAATACAGGGTATTGACTTACATAACCAGACTAATTAGAGAATCAATAGTGAAGCTGCAAAACCATGACCTTTTTCGAGCTAATGGTTAGTTGGACTTTCTTTTAAAATTATATGATTAGTTCTCTTTTAAATGAAAAGAGGAGAGAAGGAATATTTCATTTGTTTTAAATAGATTTTCAGTGGCATTGAATTAAAGATCCTTTAATGGTTAAAATGATAAAGTTTAACCTTACATATCCTGAAAACTCTTGGTGACTTGTTTAGCCTTAACTGTTTTGTTTGTTTTATAGGACAAATTAAGGGGAAATTTTGGGCGTTTTTTAACCTGTACCTCTTTTACCCATAAGTATATTAATTCCTTATAGAAACAAAAGTTAGTTGGCTCTAAAAGTGATTTGACAATGTCCAGTGATGTCACTTAATATTGGGAGTAGAAGACAAGGGGCTAGGGAATTTCTTTCTGGCCAAACCCAAAACATGGTTTCCTTCAGTCTCCTGAGCAACCTACAATTATTCAGACTTTCAGGAAACTCAAATTCTAGAGTTCATTTGATTTGACTCCTTTCTGAAATGTTAACAGACATGTATCTGCTTCAAATTCTCACCTATTCCATCTTCCTTCCTGGTGATAAATGTGTTTTTCCTACGTGCAAGTAGAATATTTTATTTTGGTTAGGGTCAAGTTTTTTAAAAGAGGAGAAACATATACATATATAGTTTCCTAGAGATGCAATACCTCTGGTATTGCAACATGTTCAGGTCAAGTATGAAAATAGCTTATTTCTCTTCACCTCTATAGCATTTCATTTCAAGGGACCACAGAACACACTTGACAGTGACCATTTATTTAATTCCAATGACCGAACAGGTAGCAAAAGAGAAGGGAGGGAATGTGGTGATAGAGGCAAAAATTGAACCACTTAACTAGTTGTTCCTTTTTAAAAAGCATTAACCCTGTCAATTTAAAACAGATGAACACAGACAAAATATGCACAGAGGACTTTTTTGTTGTTGTTAATTTTTTCATTTTTCAATTACAGTTGCCATTCAATATTATTTTACATTAGTTTATATTAGTTTCAGATGTACAGCACAGTGGTCCAACATTGGAGGACTTTTTGTTGTTCTTAAATCTAGAAATTGAGCTGTCTCTGTTTGTCACTGGGCCACCACCCCCACCACCACCCCCACCCCAACCCACTCCCTGCTCCTACTATGGAGTTTAACTCACCAAAGGCCCCTAGTCCTTGTGGGAATATTCTCATCTCCCAAAAAGTTACTTTGTTGACCACAAATTCCAAGGCGAGCAGTTTTGTGTTGTGTAATATTTTTGCAGCACGCACATTTGTTATTGAAACCACAGATTCTCAACATAGTTAAGACATATGTTTCAGCGACTTTGTAAATATGCAATCTTTTAGGAGCTCCTCAATTTACTAATCAAGGTATATAGAACACCACTGACCAGAATAGAAACAGAAAGACCCTTTGTGAGGTTGGATAATACCACCAGTAGGTACATGGAGTTATGGTATATATCACAAAATGGCTCCAAATCATGAGCAAGATGGGTCTTTGGTGCCTGCTGCCAGTTCACCTTCGTGGTGCAGCCCTCTTCTGGTCTTATCAGGAAAACGTTCCTGCATTTCCTAGGGAAAAAGAGAAGTCAGTCTTTTCTGAGCAGCACAATGTAGATATGTGTCTGTATTTTCCTAGCTTCAGCAAACCCCGTAATAAAATTCCCACTCTAACAAAAACCAAAATACTTATTATTTGAATGTAGAAAAGGATAGAATAAATGTTACATCCTGAAAGTTTCAAAGGGCAGGTTCACTGGGGAATCCTTAGACCAGCCTTACCCACACTGCCCCCCCCCGCCCCTTAATTTTTATATGACTTAAATAGGCCCCTGCTTCCCCTCTCCACTCCAGTCGAACATAAGAAGGTCAGAACTGTAGCGCAAAAAACCTGCTTTCAATGTGAAAATATAATGTGTAATTTTGGGGACCACAGACTTTCTACATCGAAGATCTGGACAGCCTTAACTTTTGTAAAAAAAACAACAAAAAAACAGTTTTTCAGT